CTCAATTAATTCCCCAATTAACATATGACTGTTATTTACCTATTTACTCTGTCTTTGAAATTTTTAGGTTTACAGAAAGATGCAAAAGCAAAGATTTTTTCACGGAAAAAACCCTTCTTAAGCCCATGAACTAAAAATGAAATAGATAAGCACTCTAACTTTTCTAATGATGCAAGTAAACCCTTCTTACAAACGGGTCAAACGGTAATTTTATGTTTAATATTACCTTGAAAGTACGAATACCCATGAATAAAAAGGGCTTATTTGCATCATTAGTGGAGTTAGAGGGCTTATCTGTTTCATTTTTAGTTTAAGAGTTTAAATCCTATTTTGGGGTAAGTTTGAGGGCTTAAAAAGGGTTTTTGTCTATTTCCACACTTAGGATATGATAATTAATGCTATATCTTAATAACATACCATATTAGGGAGAAAGGGTTATCAAGCATATCTAGCACGTTGAAAGAAAAGGAAAAAAGTAGATTTGTCATGCATGCATCTTTCCTGAGAACAAAAAAATTGCAAAGATATTTTATTGACTCTTTTTCTCAACTTCTAAAAGAATCAGAAATATATAATTCATGTTTCATTCGATTAAAAATTTTGTGAAATTGATTTCCAATTCTTCATATAAAAATAATTGTTAATTTAAAACAAATTATAAATTGATTTCCAATTCTTCATTCGGGGTTTGGGCTCCCAAATATTGGAGCCCTTCTCTTCATCCACTGGTCCCTTTTTATAATATGGTATAGTTCGAAGAATGATAAAATAAGGTTACTATATATATACTCCACATTCATAGAACTATTTTTTTTTTTTTTGGCCCAACATAGAAGTAAATTAAAAAATAAAAATATCAAATTGTGTACCTACCATTTTCCTCATATATATACATAGCCAAAGGTCTATTGGCTTCACACAGAGGCACACCTTCACCATTGCTTTAGTCAAAATTGCAAAAATTTGTCTGGTGAAATAGAAGATGGGTTTTGAGGACGCATCCCAAGTTTGCACCGGTATCTTGTCCTCCTCTGATACCGGCAAGAAGACGACTGCTCTCTCATTGAATTCCATTATCAATCTCGACCAGTAAGTTCAATCACACTCTTTTTCTGTTGTCCGAAGGATCATCTGCATTATCATTTCATGTTGGTTAAATTCTCAATTTGGGCCCTAAACTATTGTATAGACCCTTGATCGATTTGGTGCTTAAACTAAAAAAATCCTTGATTTAGTCCTTAAACTATTATATGAATCCCCAATTTAGTCCTTACTGTTTACCAATTTACCTCTAGTTGATCCTTCCATACAAAAACCAACTGACATGTCTTGTTATTAACATGACACATGACTGTTAAGTTATTATTTTTCATTGTTAAATAACAGATACGTCAGCTTTTTTTTTGTACGAAAAGATCAACTTTGGATAAATTGGTAAACAGTAGGGACCAAATTGGAGGTCCATACAATAATTCAGAGACCGAATCAAAATTTTTTTTTTATTTTAAGGACCAAATCAAAGGTTTATATACAATAGTTTAGGAACCAAATTGAAGATTTAACCTTTCATGTTTTTATAAAGCTGGTGAAATGAAAGAATTGTATTTGTGTTCTCTACAGTGGTGATCCTACAATGTTTGAACCGTACTGGAGGAACCTGGGGGAGAAATGTAAGCTGGTGATTTCGGGCTCTGATGTGATGAGCTACTTCAGTGACCCCGGAAACATATGCTGGTTTTTGGAGCCCAAGCTCGCCAATGCCATCCGAGTGTTGCACCGGTTGGTGGGGAATGCAGTGGCGGAAGATCGCCACATCCTGGTGGGGACTGGCTCAACGCAGCTATTCCAGGCGGCCTTGTTTGCGCTCTCTACTCCTGATGCTCCTGAGCCCATTAGCGTTGTATCTACCGCCCCTTACTACTCGGTAAGAAAAAGCAATTTTCAAAACTTCTTCTTCTTCTGCTTTTTAATTCCCCTCTCTTTAAAGCAACAAAGTGACAAACATGTTTCAAAAACATAGGCATATATTACCCACTTCTTTTAAAAAATTCTGTCTTTTGCAGTCATTCAAGGAGGAGGTGGAGTTTCTTCGTTCTGGTCTGTACAAATGGCAAGGTGATGCCAAAACCTTCCACAAGGAAGGACCTTACATTGAGGTGGTGACTTCACCAAGCAATCCTGATGGAACAATTAGAAGAGCTGTGGTGAATCGTGAAGGAGGCAAGCTGATTCATGATCTTGCTTATTACTGGCCTCAATATACCCCGATCACTGGTGCTGCCGATCATGACGTTATCTTGTTTACCTTCTCCAAGTGCACTGGGCATGCCGGTTCTCGAATTGGGTGAGTTATGTCATGATATGTATTTATCAACAATTAAGTTATATAATTAGTACTCATGAAACTTGTTCTAATATTAAAGTTTTGAAGTTATAGTGTCTATAAGCACTGCTAAGCTCTTCTGATTTTGTCCTTTGTGAAGATGGGCGATTGTCAAAGATGAGCAGGTGGCCAGGAGGATGACGAAGTTTATGGAGCTGAGCAGCATTGGAGTGTCAAAAGAATCCCAGCTCCGAGCTGCAAAGATTCTCGAGGTACTTAACGCTGGTCTGCAAAACGGTAGTGGCTCAGAGAACTTCTTTGAATATGGCCGTCACATCATGGCCAAACGATGGTTTGAACTACGGTATATAGTGAAAAGCAATAGCAAGATTTTTGGTCTGCCAGAATATCCGGTGGAGTTCTGCAACTTCAGCAAAGGAACAACCATAGCACACCCTGGTAAATGCACCCTAAATGATTTAAATTGCATTAAAAGTTCAAATTTCCTCTCCTTGTTAATGCTTTTGGTTTCTTGATCGTACCCTGCGACTTCAGCTTTTGCCTGGTTGGAGAGTAAGCAGGACGAAGATATAGAGAAACTCCTGAGGGCACATAAGATGCTGTGCAGAACAGGAACTCGCTTTGGGTCGGAACAGAAGTATGTGAGGATAAGTATGCTTAGTCGGGACGAGGTGTTCGACGAATTCTTGGAGAGATTGGCTGCAATCAAAGGAGGCACTGAGAATCAGTAAAGAAGGTCTAAACCCTGAGCTTTGAATAACAAAGCAGCAAGCCTTGATTAGGATATAGTTTGTAATTGTATCGCGATACCGTTAACTACAATCACCGTAGTTAACTCTTGTCGCAGATGTAGCCTTTGATGAGTCTGGTTTTGTTTTTGTCTCAACGACTGTTTCCCTTTGATGGTATGTAGCTAATTCTAAAGCAATGTGTCAATGTTGTTCTTCTCCTCATGCGTCAATGAAATATTAAAATTAGACAAAGAAAATCCATCTCTTAAAATTAAGGCTTCGTTAGAAATACTCTAACTTTTGATTTTTATATCTTTTTATTATTTTAAATATATAAAAAATATTAATCAAAATAAATATTAAATATATTTTATATATTTTTAAGATATCAAAAAATAAAAAAAAAATTAATAACTACAGCTATAAATCAACACTCCCAAACTAAGCCGAAATGTTCAATGACTACAAGTGGGAAGTGGAGAGATAAATTTTTTAATCAATTAAAATCTAATTATGTTTGGGTTGAGGTGAGGCAAGAGAGAAGTGGAGACATAAATCTTTTAATCAATTAAATTAAAATACTTACAAATATATTAATTTAATTAGTTAAAAAACACAAATATATTAATTTAATTAGTTAAAAAACTTAGTGTTTGATTAAGAAGAGAATACTTTCCCATTTTTTGTTTTCCTTCTCATTTCCTAAAAAATAGTTTTTCTTTTTATGTTGTTTAGAAAATAGAAATTTTTGAAATTATGTTTGGCAAATGGAAATGGTTTCATATATAATATTTAGCCCCTTAAGTTTTATAAATTTTAAAAATCACTCTCTTTTTACAATGAACTATCAAAACTTAAAAAAATTATAAATAAGCATTTCTTTCATATTCATTATGTTATTCTTCTCCTTATGCGTCACTGGAATATTAAAATTACCCAAAGAAAATCTGTCTCGTAAAATTAAGGCCCCGTTTGTATGGTAGTTTGAGAGTAGTAATTAACAATTTTATCTAAATTTTTATAAAATTAATGTTTGATAAATTTTTTTTTTTTGAAATTGTTATAAATTAAATGTTTAGTAAAATTTTTTATTTAATAGTTTACAACTAATGGATAATGGCTATGGCTCAAATTGCTAACTAATTAAAAAAGTTACTTTAAGTAGCTTATTTTACTAAATTGCTAATAAATTGAAATTTTTTAAAGATTTTATTAACAAATTTGTTCATTTTAATTTTGTAATTTTTTTGTCACAGCCTTCAATTCCCACTTAACTAATTAGTTTCAATTTCATTTTTTTCTTTAATAACATTAAGTAATTATTATATTTTATTTTTTACGTTAACTCATTATCAAAAATATTTATATTAACTTAATAAACAAACTTTACTAATTAAATGAAATAATTGTAAGTTTTTTATTTAAAAATAATATAATTTTTTCTCTTTCTTAAAAATAAAAATATGTGTAATTCACACTTTTGTGTTTTATATATTTATTTATTATTTTTATAAAATTAATAATTTTAATAAAAATATAAAAAGAAAAAAATATATTTAATTATTTTTAAATATATCTTTATTGGTCATTTAATATCAAATAACAACCACTAACCATTATATAACTAAATAATTATATCAATCGAAATTTATTATTTAAAATTCATTACTTATTACCACTATATGTTGTTTGCTACTTGTTACTACTACCTATTATCCACTAAATTTTAATTACTATATCAAATAAACCCTAAATATTCAATAGCCATTAAAATCTAGGCATGTTTGATTTGAGGTGAGGGGAGGAAAGGGAAGAGATGAATTTTTTAATTAATTAAATCAAAATGTTTTAAAATATTATAATTTAATTAATTAAAAAAACTTTTTTTTTTTACATTTCTTTTAAACTAAACATATTATTAATATTATAACAACTCTTATTAAGTTATCATTCATACTCCATCCATCTTCAAATAATTATTTTTTAATTTTTTATTAAATATTTATTTTATATTAATTCTCACTATTTATTTTTTTAAGAGAGACATCTTTTTTAAAATAACACTATTCTCACCTCCTTTATGGTTAATATCGCAGCATTTTAAAATTATTAACAAATTTAGCCTTTATAATTTAAATCTTTTACGTCTCATCATTTTTTTTTTATATGGATCACTCGGTATCTGAAAACTCATTCAACCACTTGCTAATCCATATTCGAATCAGGCAAGATTCAACGAGTGGTAAAACTCTTCCTCATAAATTTTAACGAAACTGCATTCTCAAAACTTCGTTTTATTCTTTTTACTTCTGCTGCATAATTCAAATTATTTCGTTCCTTTTTTCTTTATGTTTAATCAAATTATTTTTCCACCAAAAAAAAAATCAAATTATTTCCTCTAACAAAAAATTACACAAAAACTCAGTGATAATCAAAATTCAAGAAATTATGCTAAGATATTAGAAATTCAAAAATCAAACCTCTTCGACACGGTGAGTGTGAGGCTGTTTCAAATCCTTTACGGCCATGACTTTAGCAGGAGTCTGCCGACAAAGTCTAGGGGATTATCTCGCGATGGATTGTGGATTGGGTGGCGGCTTTTCTGTACCTTCGAAAATTTTTTTTAAAAATCAACCACGAAGAAAATTTGAAGGAAGTTGATGATTTTGATTTTTGGTTTGTCAATCCGCTTGCTGGATGGGCAGTGAAGGTAGAGAACAGAGGAAAAAAAATGTAAAAATGTAGAGAAAAATAGATGAAGGAAGAAAATTAGAAACGTTATAAAGGGCAAAATAGCCTATAAGTTTAAAATAGTGTGGTGTTAACCATATGAGAAACAATAATCCCAGTCTTTTTTTTTCATATTGTTATCCTTTAATCTTAACTATCCACCTATCACCAAAATTTTCTGTCTCTATTTTTCTTAAAATAACATATTTAAGCTGATAAAATTATAGTTATAATATCATATAAAATTATAAGTTTACAATCATGATGTGATATTAAATTAATAAATAAATATAATAGTATTAATAGATTTTAAATTAAAAAAGTCAATTATATAAAAATATATTATATTATAAATATATAATATTACATGATATTATAATTATAATATTTTTATATTTAAAAACATAAAATGTTCCTAAATTCTTAATTTGTGAAACAAATCAAAAATATATATATTTTTTAGAGTAGAGGGGCAGCATTCGATCTTTTTTTTCTTTGAATTTTGACAGTAAGTTAAGCTAGCTTATGAGGGCTGAAATTTATTTTTTTTTCTAAGCAGTTCTAAGAGTACATCTTCATCTCAACTTAGTACATATTAACCCCAATAATTTAACCCTAACATCTACTTTTTCTCAATTAAAGATGAAGTTGTAAAGGGATTCATCTTAGTCCAACTCAAGTTTCCCATTTCCACAGCAACCATCTTAATTTTGAAGTTGCGGAACCTCCCACATCTTCAATAAGCATGGGAGTTCCAACTCTGCCAGAATTTCTCATGTTTATCCATTACAAACATGTGACAACTCTCAAAGGTCATTTTCCCCTTCCAGAGTGATGATAATAAAACTAGAAACAATATGCTGATTGATCTGCCAAGAATAGATAGGAGTGCAGAGAGGGAAAATGGGTGTAAATAACCATACAAAGATTAGACGTTATCGCAGGAAATAAGGAATCTAACATGTAGGACAATATTCAATTTGTTATTTGCACAGAGGAAGAGAAAATAACGTGTGAATAAACCCCCTTTTTTTTGTGATTATTATCAATCAACTCGTACAGAAATATTGGACATGACAATTATCATTCACAGAATGTGAAGTGAAGCAGAAAAGAATTTTCTCAACAAACTTTCATAAGAATATAGAATACATTCTACAGGGCTTTCTTGTTTATCCAACCATTTCATTTTGCCCTCGTTCTTATGTGATTTAAACTAGTAAATAAACTTCCTGAATTCAAAATGTCAACCGACAAGAGTCACAATTAAATAAGTCGCAGTTCATACTCTCCAGCCATTGTTATGTATCTGACCCATGGAAGAGCCTGATAGCCGCTTTTCTCAATGATCTTCAGGTAGCGAACCTAAGCAGTTAAAATGTACATGTAAGAAATCTGACCAAATAAATTGCTTTCAGATATATAATCTATAACTGTTTTCATGAGCAATGAATAAAAGGAAAAACAGTTTTCCCCTATACTTAAGGAGATGCTATCTGCACCATCAATGACCTTGAACTAGAACTCAGTGGTTTCCATAGACTACTAGGAGATTAAAGTAATCATCTTATGATTTTATAGCCTTAAATGCAGTCTTTATTATTATTATTTTTTCAATCAAATTCATAGACTATGTTTACACCAAGTTCAATAGCTATGGTAAGGCACTAAATGATTCTTGCGAAATTTTCCTTCAAGGAGGCAAAAAACTATTACATCGGCAGTTTATTCATCTTTAAATATCAGAACTCCAATATAAGCTACTGCTTGTTCATATTCTTTCTTTCTTGCTTGTTCATATTCTTTCTTTCTTTCTTTATATTTTTTTGATAGATCAGCATGATACTAATCATTTACTGTTATCCAAAAACATCCTCAAATGTTAAAACAGCATCTCTAATAGTGTAAACGTTTCTCAATCTTTTAGCCAAGCCTAATAGTTTTTCAATGAGTTAAATCTTGTTTCCTATGAGCTAGGTTAATATGCATTGTCTATAGTGCTTCATTATTTATATTTCACTTCCAATTCTTCTGGTGGTAATCCCACTAATCATTTCCTACGGACTAGGTTAATATGCATTCTGTCTAGTGCTTCATAATTAATATTCTATTTCGACTTCTTCAAGTGGTAATCCCACCATATCTAACTATAGTCCAGAGAGTTCAATATAGGGCAGCATTTTTTTTTTTTGGTACATTGGATGATAGGTTATATACAACAGAGGATGGCCCTCCCTTCCCAAATCCAACCCCACCCTAGGATTTGAACTTGAGATCTCCAACATGGAGACTTAAGTTCTTAACCACTAGGACATCTCCTAGGGACAATATAGGGCAACATTTCACCACTATTGTTCTTGGTTGGAGAGGGACCGAACAAGAAAGAAAACAGGCACAAGAATAGGGCAAGAAAAGCAGAGAAATCAACATAAATATTATTGTCAAGCATTCAATCTTTTCTAAAAACATACCTGTATTCCTGAAACAGTAAAATATGGGATTTCAAACTTCACATGTATTGGAGCTTTTCTCTCTGGACCTCCATCTTCAGCAGTTATACTAGGAAGACTGAACTCCGCCCGCAACATATACTCCTAATAATAAGAGTTTAAGACACAGATCAATGTCATGGCCAGGAAAACAGCAAAGTTTCTTAATTCACATCCACAGATAACAAAATACTAGCAAACTATAAATGATTTCAGGAGTACCTTGCCACCAGGAAATGACCTTATCTTCCATACCAGTGCATCACTTTCAGGTGCATATGATGCAGAACCCATTGACGTCCGGACATTTGGATTGGAAGCATCGGCAGGTACTGGAATCTCAATCTCAACATTTGTAGCAGTACTGCCAAGGACCATTAGATCTTCATGAGTGCTTGCTTATCTAATATAATGACATCGCCTAGAACTAGGAATGTGCATGTGAGCGGGTAAAACTGAGAACAACTAAAAACAGCACAGTTCAATTAGTTTTCTTAGTATGGTAACTGATAAAATTCAAGGCATAAGAAATATATTTGTTAACCATTGAAGCAGAATGCTTGTGTGCACCCAAACCAATCACAATTTGGTCCAATTTTTAAATTTTAAATTGAGATTTTGGTTTTTAAATGTAAGTTAAAACTCTAATTTTTTTAGACTTAGAATTAATATACACTAATATATATATATACATATATACACACACACATATATATCTCGATATTTTGCATCTAATTTGATGTCTTGTTTTCATTATATATATACATTTTTTTATCAGTAAAAGATAATCTTTATTAATTGGAATATAAGGGGTATTTCAAACCTATTTAGTAAGAAATAATTACCTCCATCTTGCCGTAAATAGGTAAATGA